CACCGCAACCTCCACCTCCTGGGTTCAGGCAATTCTCCTGCCTCAGCCTCCTGAGTAGCTGGGATTACAGGCATGCACCACCATGCCCAGCTGAATTTTTGTATTAGTAGAGACGGGGTTTCACCGTGTTGACCAGAATGGTCTCGATCTCTTGACCTCGTGATCCACCCGCCTCGGCCTCCCAAAGTGCTGGGATTACAGGCTTGAGCCACCGCGCCCGGCCGTTAATTTCTTAAACACTTGAGTCCTTGTTACCTGTAATTGGAAGGTTTCATTTATTTATTTATTTTTATTTTTGTAGTTAAAGTCTTTCTTTGTCTCCCAGGCAGGAGTGCAGTGGCATGATCTCAGCTCACTGCAACTTCTGCCTCCTGGGTTCAAGCAATTCTCCTGCCTCAGCCTCCCAAGTAGCTGGGACTACAGGCGCATACTGCCACACCAGCTAATTTTCTGTATTTTAGTAGAGAGGAGGTTTCACCTTGTTGCCCAGGCTGGTCTTGAACTTCTGAGCTCAGGCAATCTGCCTGCCTCGGCCACCCAAAGTGCTAGGATTACAGGCATGAGCTGCCTTGCCCAGCCTTGGAAGGTTTGAATTGCAAGGTTTTTTCTTACTATTAAAGTTTGATAAAACTGAGAGATGCTTGTAAACTTTCACATACACAAAAAGAAAAAAAAACTGAGAGATCCTATGGAATAGCAGAACAGTTAAGGTGAGGTACAGGGTAACTTACTGCATGATCACCTGTCAAATTGATAATACTTCCTAACACATAGGATTGTTAAGGATGCATTAATGAAACATGTGGAACATTGTAGGCCTTCCCTGTTTGCCAAATCTGATTTTAATTTATGAAGCATGGTTTTCAGGCTTCTCATCTTTGATCTATGAAACATTCATTGGCCTACTAATGTATAATGTTTTTGTTTTGTTTTTTTGCCAGAAAAACTGTATAATGTTTTTAACCTTCCCATTGCAACTATTCTCAGATAAGAGACAGATGGACTCTTGCTTCTATTTCTTTATACATTTCATTATAACTTCCCCCACAGTCACAGTTGCAGTTGAATTTCTAGATAAGACCAGACTGATTTGGAGAATGTCTTGCTTGGGGAGTAAAGCGAGAAAAGCCACTAATCGTTTTTATTCTTTGAAGGAAAGAAAATTTTAATATAACATGGGATGACTTGAAGGATGGGGAGAAACGACCTGTCCCCAATCCAACCTGTACATTTGATGATGCCTTTCATTACTATCCTGAGGTTATGGAAAACATTAAAAAATCAGGTTTTCAAAAGCCAACACCTATTCAGGTATGCTTTCATTAATTACAGTATTTCACTCAATGTTTTTATTCAAAAATAGCGATGTCTTTGTTTTTTGCTTTTTGTTTTTGTTTTTGTTTGAGGTGGAGTTTCACTCATTACACAAGCTGGAGTGCAGTGGCACAGTCTCGGCTCACTGCGACCTCTGCTTCCTGGGTTCAAGCAATTCTCCTGCCTCAGCCTTCAGAGCTGGGATTACAGGCGTGCACCACCATGCCTGGCTAACTCTTTGTATTTTTTGTAGAAATGGGGTTTCTTTTTTTTTTTTAAAAACCAACCCCATGATTCAAGAAATGGGGTTTCACCATGTTAGCCAGGCTGATCTTGAACTCCTGACCTCAGGTGATCCATTTACCTCAGACTGCCAATTGCTGGGATTACAGGCATGAGCCACCACACCTGGCCGATATCAGATTGTTAGAAGACACCAGGGAGCAACTGTCTCTTAGCATTCCCCCAGCACCTTCTCCCTAGTGTTCAAACAGTTTTTTTTTTGTTTTTTTTTTTGAGACGGAGTTTCACTCTTGTTACCCAGGCTGGAGTGCAATGGCGCGATCTCGGCTCACCGCAAC